TTCTTTTTTTGGCCCAGAAAGTTCATAAAATAGAAAAAAAGCTATTTTTTTTAACAATTACAGAGATATTGCAATCTTTCATTGAATTTCTGACCTGAACTTCTTATTTTGAATAGTGCTGAATCACTCCATGACAACATGGACCTCGTAACAACAAGTAAATATTTATATATTCTGGACAGTTAGAATTTATAAAACAATTATTCATAACTATTCTGTCATGATTTTACAAAGTTCAGACCCAAATGCAGAAAACCAAAACAGAGAGACCAGGGAAAAGGTTTAACGGGTTTAATTGAAGAGGTTAAACAGAGGGAGAAGTGTTGCTCTTAACACTGCTCAACCCGAACTGAAAAGTGAGGGGAAGACACAGTGGTTTGTTCAGGGTCAGTGGGGAATTTGACTCGTGAACTTGGAGAAGAGGATTTGGTTGCCAACTCACGTTTCCAGAGAAGTTGTTGAATCCTTGACTCCTGTGTATGTGCTGTAGTTCCAATGTTTGTCTGATTCGGTGGAGGGCGGAACAGGGTTTACCCAGAATGTGGTTGTTAGTTGGGGAACGGAGAAACTGACTGCCACTTAGATATTTTGCAGTACTTGAACAGGTCCTAGTGGAGAATAATCCCATTCTCAGTGCAAAACTCAAACGATCTTTTGGGGAAAGTGGATCCAAACCTCCTGTTTGAACCCCAGCTCAGTTTGAAGCTCAGTTGATCCTTCCAGGGAGAGAAGGTCCGAGAAAACCAGTTTGCAGGAGGACTTCCTGCCGAGAGGCAAAGACAAAAACAAAGTTAAACTCAGTTTGACAAAAACTCAGTTTGACTCAGCAAAACTCAGCTTGGCTAGAGTACCCTAAACTGGCAATCACTCTTGCGTCGAGGTAGTGGCAGTCAGCAGCTTAAGACAACTCCGTTTAACGAGGAAACCATCGGCAGGTGTGTGAGGAGGCGGACCAGAACCAGGCGCCTCCTGGTGGGTGAAGAGGGACAAACACAGAAACACAAACACAAAGACATTTTTCTGATCCCTGGATGGGCAGAAAACTTAGAAGAGTGAATCCAACTTATTACACGAGCTTGAATGGAGGAAGGTACAAAGATTCTGTTAGGTGGCCGGTTCCAGGATCAGGTTCAGTCTGTTGGGCCTGTTTGACGAGATCCTTAATCTCCCAGGTTACTGCAGCAACCGAGCAGCTGGGAGGCAGGATAGGAGCAGCCGACTCCTCAGATTCATCCAGGGAAAACTGCCTAGAAAGGGCATCCGGTTTGATGTTCCGAGAGCCAGGGCGAAAAGAGATTGAAAGGTTGAAACGAGAGAAAAACAATGACCATCGGGATTGGCGGGGTTTGAGTCTCTTGGCGGATTGGATATAGGAGAGATTTTTGTGATCTGTCCAAACCTGAACCAGATGTGCAGCTCACTCTAGCATGTGTCTCCATTCCTCCAGAGCCAACTTTATGGCTAAAAGTTCACGAGCTCCAACGTCGTAATTTCTGTCAGTTGGAGTGAGTCTGTGAGAGAAAAAGGCACAGGGATGCAATTTGTTGTCGGCACCGGAAACTTGGGAGAGAACAGCTCCAACTCCAGAATCTGAGGTGTCTACCTCCACCACAAACTGTCTGGAGAGGTCAGGCTGAGTGAGAACAGGACCATTGGCGAAAAGTCTTTTGAGGTGAGAAAAGGCTGCTTCTGCCTTAGAGAACCAAACAAAGGGTACCTTGGAAGAGGTCAGGGATGTAAGAGGAAGAGCAGTTTGGCTGTAATTGTGGATAAACCTGCGGTAGAAATTGGCAAAACCTAGGAAACGTTGGAGCTGTTTGCGAGTCTCAGGAGTAGGCCAGTCCAAAGCAGCCTTATTTTTTTCCTCAGTGGGTCTTACCTGTCCGCCCTCAAGGATAAATCCAAGGAAGGAAACAGATGGTCTGTGGAATTCACATTTCTCAGCTTTAACGAATAGTTTGTTCTTGAGTAGACGTTGAAGGACCTGGTGGACATGGATCTTGTGCTCAGATAGGTTCTTGGAAAAAATAAGGCTGTCAAAACCAGTTTGCAGGATGACTTCCTGCCGAGAGGCAAAGACAAAAACAAAGTTAAACTCAG